GTGAAGATAGTGAGTAATTGAACTGCAGTCAGAACTATTATTGACGCTCGTTGATATAGCGTTTGTTTTAGCGCGATTGTTGAAAATAAGTGTATCGTAAAGTTGTATTCGGAAAGGATAAACCAGTTTTATTAAGTAAAGAACTTGTGCCGCTAAAGTTTCGTCGGAACGAAGTTACGGAAAGTTAATTAACAATCGGAGACGTAACAATATTTATAAAACAAAGAAATACACAAACAAAAATACAGGCTATAACAACCAATCCACTAGAACTGATAAGTAAAAACGGATCTCCTGAAGCTGAGTTACAAGCACCCATAATGTTCATATACTTATGTACACAGCACGATAACACCCAAGATAAGATGTCGACGTTAAAAACTATCTCTATCAGGGGAATGAAAAATGGAACACTCCCTTCAAAATTCAACGATACACATACATACAAAAAAAAAGATAGAAAAAAGAAATAATGTTGTAGAGATGTGACTTAAGTTATTGAAATGTTATAAAATCTGAACATACAATAAACTATATACATTAGTGGAGACGAAGTTGCGATAAAACTAATTCAGTTACAGCTAATTAAGCTTATCAGTGATGTAAAGCAATTGATGTACTACACAGAAGATATCTGTGGATTATTTTAATCAAATAAAACTCAAAATTATGAATACGGTCATACGAAGTTAATTTTTATCACCCAGGAGAAGTAATACTTATTAAACGGTGTTATTGACGTGTTCTAAAATTGTGAAAACTGATAGGGCAACATATCAACGGAAATCCAATACACTAACAACAACAAAACTAACTAAGGTTCAAACTACAGAGAGCTAAGAGCATTGCATTAGAACGATTTTGAATGTGCAAAACAGTAGCTCACGTGACAACCACAACCGATATAGTCGTGGTAAACAGAATGTACCAGACCTACATTTAGGTAGGTAGGTAGTGTTATGATGCACTGAAAACTTGCCACTTTTGGGAAGGGTATGTAACAGCAAATATATATATATACTCAGATCATAAAGATGTGTTCACATTTCAAAACGGGAATATCCTTTGTTCTTAATAACACCACTGGAAAACAAAGGAATATGGTTTAACATCCAAAAACAGACCTGCAACAAGTCGTACCTTTGGTGTGATAAGAAAAGTGTGGTGTGTTGTCACAGACGAGAACCACTAATACTAAGGTCAGTGTCAAAAGCCGTCCACGTGCCCCAGGCAACAGTACGCAACATAATCAAGACGGATCTCCATCCTAAAAAACAATACAAATCACGTGCACACAAGTAGCTTCAATGACATATCAGTTCAACGGTAGCATATCTGAAGCAGCTGGAGAACGAAACGTCTTTTCATGCTATTTCATACCAGTCAAGTCGACAGGAAGCAGTATTTATGGATTTTTGTGCGATCAGACTGTTGAAATGTGCGCTGGAACACCATCGTACTCATATATTAGATGGATTATGGAAACCATGAAGAGAGAAGAGATGTGATTTGGACATGCCAAGCATAAGGTGGAGGCTTTTGTAATTATAACTACG